CATCAATTACCGAAAATTATTTTAAGGCATTTTCTTAGGATATATCCATATGTATGTCTGCAAGCCATTATTTACCCCCTTTTGTTTAATGGGGGGTAGCTGTAGCAGTACAAATATTTCGTTGAGTGATAGAGACAAGTAGTTAATTCTGAGTAAAATTTTATTAACTGAAATTAGATTTAAGAAAAATATTAAATGACGAGACCAACATTTGCTGTTTTTTTGGGGGAGAATTGTGTAACACTACACAAGTTATCCTTAACTTTTAACCGATAGACTCAAGGGAATGTAGTCAGTCAACAGCACCCACTGCCAAGTCCAAGGGAATGTAGTCAGTCAACAGCACCCACTGCCAAGTCCAAGGGAATGTAGTCAGTCAACAGCACCCACTGCCAAGTCCAAGGGAATGTAGTCAGTCAACAGCACCCACTGCCAAGTCCAAGGGAATGTAGTCAGTCAACAGCACCCACTGCCAAGTCCAAGGGAATGTAGTCAGTCAACAGCACCCACTGCCAAGTCCAAGGGAATGTAGTCAGTCAACAGCACTCACTGCCAAGTCCCGTATACTTTAATCAAACAGTTGGATTTGACCATCTCTCTTATAACATAACTATAACTCGAGAGCTTAAGATTTAAGAAATATTACTGTAGACAGACTGACAACACAAGGTCAACTTTCCATCATTGAGTTATATTAGTCTCGTAATTGTATCGAACCTCGGTTTTTGTGGTCTGTGTCTCTTCACATAGTTCCCCACTTAATAACAAGAGTTTTTATTTTATTTTTTGTAAATACCAGTATAATAAATAACATATATAAACAGATGTGATGATCCTTTATTTGACAACTAATTTATTTCAAAGCCTACAAACAAGAAAAAAAACACCCAGAACTGAAAATATTGAATGCATCATTAAGTAACATTGTGTACAGATGTTTGTTTCAAAGATCTATGAGTGCACCTATTTATTATCTATGTCTGGTACATGTACAAGCTCAACATGATTAAAGTTGAAGAAGTTCATTGTTATTCTTAAAAACAAAACTTTTTTATCTTTATCTAAATTTACACTAATGTACAGGAAAGTTAAGACATCACGAGAAAAAAAATGGCATTATACGTAGGTGTTGAAGCTCGGAACATAAACGAGTTTTGTTAATGCAAAATATAAAAACTCTTGTGTAATAATAATAATAAAAAAAAGGTCGTCCAAGATAGTTTAATAAGCTTATTCACTTTGAATTACTAAAAAAAATTTGCTTTCTTTCAATTTGATCACAATAATATCCAACTAAGTAATTCAAATCTTTTGCTAATTTCAGTGATAAATGTATTAATGGTACTACAGAATTTCATAAAGAAATGTGTACTAGAAATTACTTTGTTATCGCAGAAGTACAAGCAAATTCTATTCATTAAAAAAAACACCTGACCAGTTATCTCGTCTCAGTTTCTCGACAGTCAGGCCAAATCACAGTTCCTCAGCAGGGATAGTTAGACAGTTTACACAAGCAGCTGAATGTAGCTATTTCTAAGGCTGCAAAACCAGCATATTTAAAATGCAAGCATTACAGATTGAAAATATTGAAATATATTACAATGTATCTGTAGATACTCAAAATGAGCATTACTCATTTGAAGTTCTACAAACACATGTACATCATCAAAACAGAGGTTTACTGCATCAGTAATTTGTTGTTTTGTTTAAAAGATTAAATGGAATTTCAAATAAAGAATAAGGTACAGGGGTAAGATACTCTCTAAACAAGGACACTGCAGACTTATGGTATCTGTAGAATGAATTAGAAGGACATCCGTCCGGTCAGACATAAATGGAAATAAGAGTGCACTATAGGGGGTTTAAGACACGAGGACTTCCTCTATGTCTGACAACACTGTTTTTTACGTGTATCTGAGCTATCAGTGGGTGCAATGGAAATTGGTTTCACATTGTCTCCTGATGGTGATGGATCATTATCAGTATCGTTTCTGATCTGTTTCTGGGATACAATGCGATAGATTTCTGGAAAGGAAAAGACCATTTAGCAACGTTATATCTTCAACCTTTGTATATTTATTTCCACAAAAAAGCAAGTAAAAACATTTAAAAAATGAGACAAAGACTGTTGAATTGTGTAAGGAGTCGAGTAAACGTCTTTCTTTTGTAGCTTGATATACAGGATTCTGTACATCAACTTACAGACAAATAGAAATTGATGGGACCCCTTACGTAATTCGATGGCTTTATCCCATTCAAGTACAAAAGTAAAATGTTAAACCACCTCAATGAAGAACAAGAATTTTTTTTAATGCCTGACTAAAAATACTTCAGCTAAAACAGTTCTTACTTTAAACACAAAGGAATTGAAATAGAACAGTATCTTACAGTAAAACTATAACCAACGTACAAGCAATAGATTTGGAATTGTAAAATGTGTGATAGGAAGAGATAAATACAAAAAGAGGTAGGTACACGTTGATCAAGGTTAATCTATTAACAAGCGTCACAGTGAAATGGATTTAAAATTAAAATCAGAAACAAGAACGGGAGCTCCAGCCCAAATTATCTTTACTGTGGAACAAAATAAACGTGTTATTAGAAGTGATCACTACAGATTATAAAAAAATTTGTTTCCTGAAATTGGAAACTTGGTTATCTTGATTAAAAGACCACAAGTTGTCTTTATATTAAAACAATGGGTAAGGTGAGGCTGAATAGCACTGGCCTACTGTCAGAGAAACGTAAATTCATTTCTAACGTGACAGACATAACTCAAAACATTCATACGAATTACGTTAGGATCCAAAAACATTAACACTTGTTACAGACTTGGACACTCGTCACAAAACTGTACAACAATATAACAAGTCTTGGATGTTGCAGTAGTAATCACCTTATCATACATGTGTGCAATAATGAAATTAAATGTTACTTCTGTTTGTAAATATAGACCAGTTAAAGGTACTAAAAAGAGTAGCAAATATCACTAAACTTGCATTTAGTTACCTGTTAAGATTTGTTGAAAGGCAGATTCCACATTTGTAGAATCCAAAGCAGACGTCTCAATAAAGGACAAATTATTTTTCTCTGAAATAAAAGGACTTTAAGTTGATGCATGGAAAAGTGAAACTGACATTCTAGCTAATTTGATATTTTCTCATTTAACAGTTGCATAAAAGGTTAAGTTTACTTTAATCATTCTACAAGTATGGCTTATCTAATCCACCATTTGTTTCCACAAGTGTGGCTTATCTAATCCACCGTTTTTTTCCACAAGTATGGCTTATCTAATCCACCATTTGTTTCCACAAGTGTGGCTTATCTAATCCACCATTTGTTTCCACAAGTGTGGCTTATCTAATCCACCATTTGTTTCCACAAGTGTGGCTTATCTAATCCACCATTTGTTTCCACAAGT